CTTTCCTTGGACGCACCTCCAGCAAGATACAGAGTAGCCTGGAAAGGTTTTTCATTTAAACGGGTTTTTTAAAGAATTTTTGGACCCCTGTGAGCTCTGGCATTTGCATCCTGAGGCAGTCAGGGTGTTACCTAGTCTTGCAGTGCATTGGCGCCACTGTTACTTACTTCTCTTTGCTTAGAATATGGTTTTAAACACATCATATGTGCCAAGACAGTTTCACCTGTGTTTACCCGTGATTATGTATCACTGCAATCTTTCCTGTTTTTTTTTTTTTTTTTTTTGAGCACAGAGGTTTTGACTGCTGTTTCAAACAATAAATCATTATTTCCTGCTTCCCATGTATGGCAGTTGTGTATTTGCAACATGAATTAAAGCTTAACTGCTGGTGCACAAAACCCCCCCGTGTTCAGCTCCAACCTGCACAATGCCGAGAAACACAATGCTGGCAAAGATGGCATAAAACTCCAAATAAAACCATGCCGTGCCCGTAGTTATGCCTTTGGTTCCACGGCTGCCAAGGGATGAGTCTCCTGGAACCCGCACATCTGGAGTAGGCAGAAAGCGGCGGGGGCAGCTGCTGTGCTCAGCTGGGCATGTCCTCTAACCACTGCTGTCGCTGAGCTGGAGCGCAGGCTGGCAGGAGCAGAGCTGCACAAACGCACGGCTGAGCCTCAGCGATCCGTATCTATGCGGAGGCGGGTTTAGGCGCCTCTGCGCCATGCCCCTCTGCAGGGCACAGGCACACACTGCCGGGAAGGAAGCACGGAAGCCCCCCTCACCAGTTTGTTTCTGGGGTGCTGCCCCTGCAATACCTGTCAGTGTTTCTGCACACCCACTCCCAACCCAACTACTGGGGCGGACCTTAGCTGAAAACACTGGAACCGGGACCCAAAGTTTCTCATGTTACTCTTCCATATAGTTAACTGCTTGCACTAGGATCGCCTCAGCATCACGGCATTCCCTGAATAAGTAATTTTTTCAAAATGCAAATATGGCTGGGGACAAAATTACAAATTTTGCCCTTGATATATCTTTACATTTAGTTTGTTGGCTACCAGAGCCTCCATAGCCAGTCAGAGCCTTCGTCACAGTCCCAGGCAGCAGATGAGCAGCTTCTTTTCCACGCTCCAGTGACCAGTGCCCCAGTACCTACTTGTGAGAGCGTCAAGCTCAGTTCTGTCTTCCAAACTGGGCAGATGAGAGTGTTTAAAAAAAAAAAATCCCCTTTGTAAAAGCAAGGCCATGGAACTATCTGTTAAAAAGAGCAGCTATTTTCCTTGCCACTTGTCTCTTTGCCACTCTTTTGTGCAAGACACAAGCCCGCGAAGTCCCATCTGAAAAGGGGATGGCAAGCGGCATGCAGGCAGCAGGACTCACTCTGTGCACGCTCTCTTGCACAGGGCTCCCACCCCAGCGCGGAGCCTGGCACTGTGCTGCCCCACTGAAGCCACGTGCAGTTAGATCCTGCTATTGCAAAGAGAAATGCAGGGGAAGGTGTCCAGGGAGCAAAAATGAGCTCAAAAAATCTCCCCTGCTTAGTTTAATCTATGCTTGGTCTCCAGGAGAGTAAACAGAATGAATACAGAGCCCTTAAAGTTCAAAACATTCACAGTGCGGTCATTTAACTACATACTTCAGCAGCTCTAACGGAACACTATCGAAAAAGCTTCATTGAAAAAACCCTGTAAATCACTGGGGCTTAAGGGAAAAAAATCCTGAACTTTACAACATGGTATCTTTCAAACAAAAAAGCCTGAAAGTCAAGAAGTCAAAGCTAAACAAGTAGTGCATCTCATTTTAAGAACATCCAAAAATCCAGATATTTAACTCCGGATGATCAAACCACTTTTAATTGTCTGCATTTATCTTATAGCATATGCCTATGAATTCCATCTGATAAATGTGAAACAGTGATCTATAAATACAGCCTTCGGGTACTTTTTTTGCAAGTCTGTAAACTCTAAAATCAGTTTAAGGATATAATTTGCAATACTGCAAGCTGCTCTGAAAATACCAGAAAAAAATTGTCACCCTTCCAAATCCACTTTATTTTCCATTCTTTACTTTGTATACAAGTGTTAGAACTGTATAGCCATATTCTCTCAGAAAACAGGGGCAGAATGCAGCAACAGTGAGGCCATGCAGCCAGTTATCGTTCAGATATGGCCTCTTAAGTAAACAATCATTTGGTTTAACTTGTCTATAGGAATATGAGTAAGCTTTCTTGATTTTCCAGTTTAAGACAACAGAAGTCCAACCAACAATCCTTGAAACTCGTCAACCATAACAACTAAAAAAGATTAACACAATGCAAAGCTTTTTCACCCCGTAACACAAGGACAAGACTTCCTGAAGTCTGTTAAGGGCTTTACTACGGATGGGGGTTTAATGCAAAAGCTACATAGGTGCCTCAGCTGTAGGTCCTAGATTAAAAAAGCATACTTTCACGGAAGTAGATTTAACTTAAGGCCAGGCTGCCACCAAGCTGAGCTACGTTTTCCTGCATTGCAACTCAGGCGATCAGGCAGTTAGTTAGCTGATGCAGCTGGAAAACACTTTTTTGTAGGGTGCTTTTGGCTAGGCTGGGTTCCTGAAATGAAATGTCAGCCTGCAAGACCAGTGTAGGGCAACCACTCCTACCCTTGTTTTCAACTTTTTGAACAACAGGGGAACACCTGGGCCAGTCCTCTGCAGTGAAAGGGGCCTCGCCCAGTCCAGATCAGAACCAAGGACTCTCCCTTCCCTAATACACTCACACTCCTTTGCTGGCCACAGACGACTCCTTACCAGCACCTAGCTCGGCAGGCTCTTCCGCTGAAGTGCTCATTCCTGGAGTCACACTGTGAGAAGAGGCATTTAAACTCCAGTGTTGCAGTGCCTCATCCTTTCACTACACAAGAGGCCTGAACTATCTGACTGGTGCTGAACTTCAGTCTCCCCTTTACACCACCAGCTGGCATTTCTAAAGAGCTTTCCATAGTGGTGGTATCTATCACTAAACCCATCAGCTCGCCACATTTCCTGAGATGGACATTTGTGGCTCATTGATCATATTCTCATTGAAGTATCTGCTGAGGTAGTGTTCTCCACAAGTAATTAAAATGCTGTTTATGAACAACGCAGTCCCTAAAAGGCCTGAGAGCACTTTTTCCTTAACAATTTAAGTGCCAAGAAATGACCACATAACTGAAAGGCACACTAAGCCTAATGTTGTCTCCTACCCTAAAGGGCAAGCATCTTAGCTATTTCTCAACGCACATGTACCGGCTATTTAACCACCAGTATCCTAAATTCTTATTTATATATGTAAAAAAGGAAAATGGCTGTGTTTTCACTTACTAGTTTCAAATAAAAGGTCGCTACCCTAAAAGCAGCGAGCTGCAATGTTCTAGCATACTCATTTCCACTGCACATGCAGGTGACTGAAGTTCATTAAATTGGTGTGGCCCTACCATTTCCTAATCATTAAATTTGCTTCTTTAATGTCAGATATATGAAATAAGCAACATCTGCTCTTCCAATGAGCTTTGTTTCATCACAATTTGCATTTTCAAGGAAACTAAAATGCTCTAAACTTCCTTTAAAAAAGGGGAAAGGCCTCAATTATAAAAGAGGAACATCATTTCTTTGATTTTCTTGCAAGCAGGAAATAAATTAAAAATACATTTAAATAAAGGTCACAAGACTTTATGCTTTCCCCGCAGCACATTCCATGCAGAAAGACACTTGCTTTGTACCACATTCTGTCTAAGAGCCTCCAGGATAACGCTAATAAATGAGTTTATTAACAACATTCAATTAAGAATTTGGTTTGTCTAATTCTCACATGAAGCCGTGAGCTTGTTTCCTGGAAAACAACATGCAGGTTGCACACCAGATGACTAATTAAAGGATTTAAGAACAATGTATTAAAATAGTTTATTAACACCAAGACAAGACACAGGAAATTAATCAGCTTTTACAGAAACAAAAGCATAATATAGTAACAAATCTTCCTGTTTTGCAGAAGTTATCACCATAACCGAGGCTGTGTATAGTCTGGGAGTCTTTCACAGAAGAGCTACCTTAAACTCTCACTGAGTTCTCTGACTGTAATGTTTAACACCCTGCATCAAACTCCTACATGTTTCTAATACGAAACTTCCCTTTAGGCAGATGGATATCATCCAAACACACTCGTACTTTCTCAAGCGACACAGCAGCGCAGATTTTCTTCACCAACCTTGGCAATTCTGCACAGCCGCTTTAGGTCCATTAATTAAACTGTACTTATGGAACGAGAATGATCTTTCTACCTCATCTTTTCTTGTCCAGATGATACTGACAGCAAGAAGTCTCTCATTTTCCAAAGATGAAAATGTTCACTAACGTAGGAGAAAAGTGAGCATCTCAGTTTGTGAATTACTTCTTTTTCTTTTTTTTCTTTTCATCTGCTGCCATTTTTAATTTGACTTCTTCTGCAGGAAGTGCTCCTAATTTCTTCTTCTTTGCATTCTTTACCTTTTCCTTGATGGCTTCGATATCGATCTTTTTCTCAGTGGAGGCTACACAGTAAAAAATACAAAGAAAACAGACATAAATTTTACTTTTTCTAAATTTTAACAGTCTACAAGACGACTTCATATGCAAACACAGTACACTGCATCCTGTGGCATTGTTTAGGACTCATTTTATGTTCACTAATGATTTTATAAACTATTCTCATAATTTCTGTTGAAATTAGTATTATCCACAAACCTCTTTCAGCAGAATTCAAAGGAGAACAGTCTCACAAAAAATCCTGCACAACTGCATTTGAACACCGATGCCACACTCTGCACACATACAAACTATTATCACCCCCTCCTCAGACCACAGAGGTACTCCTCCAAAAGCAAGGCATACGCAGTCTCAAACATAGGCCTATTGGCTTGGTTGGTCTCACATAAACGAAGAAATGAATTACTTAGTTCTTATACCTGGAGAAGCTTCCGTGGTATTCTGGCTTCCTGCAATTAACTAAGGGGGTAAGATCCCAAACATGCCTGTCCCATCCTTATACTCTTGCCTTGGCCATCCATTAACAGCCGCTGTTGGAAACAGGATGGGGAAGGGCAGGCTGGGGGGATATGATAGAGATCTTTGACCCCTGCGTGACGACCTGTCACGTTAAAGGGCAAAGGAATTTGGCAGAAAATAAAGCCCCTTGCTTTCCAGCTTGTCCTCAGATATCAGAGGGCCTGGGGGCGGCTGGGCTTAGATTCTGAGCGATGCCCAATTCGGCTCTAGGAGTCCAGTTGTGTCCAGTATCAGTGTAGCGGCACTTTACAGCTCCCACGGCTGAAGAGACAATTGAACTACCGCGATGACGGAGTCCCCGCACCGTCAGTCTAGCGGCGCTGGACAAACTATCACGGCCACACGTAGGAGTGTGATCGTGTTCAAAAGAGCTCAGGCGGCTCCATTAATGACAGCGCAGTTTATCAGAGCAGTGACAGATACACGAGTTCTTTGGATGGCCGGTGATAAATTCGCTGTCTGCAAAGCACGTGCAAGTTTAGGTAAGAGTAACACGGCCTGGCTGCAAAACACATTAAGTCATAAAAGCAACTCTATAGAGATTTCCAAGCTTCCAGGGGAGCACCCAGTGTAACCGAGTGTTCAAGTCTTGCCCAAAGGTGTGCCTGTGCGGGGGAAGAGAGGCTCAGCCTGTCAACTGATCCTGGAAGTTTAAGATGGTCTGTGACTTGTCATTGATGGGGTGTTCCCTAACAGCCTTCTCTCAGAGACCATTTTTTATACTAATTTTTACCTTTCAGGTGGAGCTTGCGTGACTCTAGTCATACACACCTTTATTACGACTGGTGTAAAATTTGCTTCGCTTTTAAAGGTATAGATGAAAGAAAGTCAGGGCACAAGCTCAGCAAGGGGTGGTCGCACATTGAAGGTGGGTAGCTTTTGGGATGGAGGTGTGTTTTGGTATTATAATGAGATTGTAATGAGCAAAGTTCACCCAAAGGATGGTATTTTGTCAAAAAATGACAGAGTGTTGGCCCAGGGAAGCAAATATGCAGCTTATCAGTTCCATGGTACCATCAAGTTCCCATCCTGGCAGTGGTACCACAGAGCCTGGCCATGGTGACTTCACTCCGCTCCTCCACCCTCCGTGCCCGTTTCTCTTAGAGTCAGCACACCAAGCTCCCCTGATGTTGCCAACACCCAAGGCTGCCCAGGGAACTTCTGTGGAACGGACTCCTTGCGTACCCGCTGCGCTCTGTTCTGTATCTTTCCTTAATGTGTGAACAATGCTGTATCTTAGAAGTTTAGTTTCCAAGTCACCTCCAGTAAGTATTCCACACCTTCATGAGACAGTTCTACAGCGAGTGCCAGAGTACTTAAGTTAAACACTCAACGCTGAGCAACATGAATAACTTACTCCTATGTTCATCTAGGTGATCGTATTTTCTCTTTTGGTCACAAGTCATGAGTCTGGATCTAACTCTTCTATCTCACAGTTAATTCCTACAACAGTGAGCACCAGCTGTCTACTTTGGATCTCAGTTCTTCTCTACATACAAACTAATGTCATTTATTCTTGGAAGACTGAAGGATTTCAGATCAAAACACACAGCAGGTAGAAACGCACAGTATTTGAGATACAGTACAGTCCACAGCAGGATCATTGAAAATCTGCTGCCATCACAAAGAAGTACTGTATCGGTGCTGCAGAACGCACACTTTTCGAGAAACATGAACTTTCAGTTTGTAAGAAATCACGTAATATGTAGAATAATCACATATAGGCAGTATAGCTAATACGAAACATACATAGCATAGCTAATACAATGAAGGGATATGTAGTATCATCAATGAATCCAGAAATCTTAACACTTGTTTCTCTAGTGCGTAAAAACCAAATCATCTGAGAACACAAGTTCTTACTCTGCACACAGTGTGGTTTTACTTTAACTTTTAGAAAAGCTATTTACCCTACCCTATACCAATACTTACTTGTGGCATAAGTTTTCAAGTAAGTATTGCTTGGGTTTCTTAACAGAAAAGCCATTTGAATGCAAAAGTTACGGCAGTTTCACTACAAGACTGAAAGGCAAAAAATGATGTAGCCAGAACAACCAGCTGGGATGGCCGTCCCAGTATCTCCATCAGGAAAATGTTCTACAGAGAACGGCCATTTTATAGGTACAGAATGATGGGCTGCATCATCTTTCTACTGTCCGTGGCAACTCCAGGCATGGATCTAACCACTAGGATTTTTTTTGCATGACCTTTCTTATTTCCTACAGCTGTATCTCTGCAAAATCACTCAGCCTAGGACAGTAGAAAGTTTTAGAACAGGAAAAAAAATGGGTTACCTTTCTTTGTTTTCACAACTGGCTTTTCCTTTGGTGGGATAAAAGCTTTATTTCTTTCTTCTTGTCTTTTCTTGATCGCATCTGCTTGCTTTGCCTGAAGTTACCAATAAGAAGATCAAGTATCAGCAGAGCGGGGCAGAGAGACACACAAAAAATAAAATTCCAAGTCAGCAGTCAACGCTTTTTCACTAACAGTGGGTTAGAACTTTACCTTTATCTCTTCCACTCGCTTTCGTTTCTTCTGTCTTTCTTTTAAGAAGTATTCACCACTTGCCAATTCTTTATCAATCTGTATGAGACAAGCACCGAGAAGCTTTAGATAACTACGCATTATAAGCCACACATACACAACCAGAAAATCAGAACTTGACAGAAAAGGCCTCTGAACCTCTGGTTAGCAAGAACACAATTTCAAGTCGTGCTATATTCCTGCATAACCACATAAAAGTTTCAGCTGACCTGGCTTTCCGGCTGCGGAGGTGGGAACGGTGTGTACTCCTTCTTAGTATTCTTCTTCTTTGGCTCCTTGCGTTTTTTCAAGTTCTTCCGCTTGAACTTAGGCAAAAACCTTTCCCAACTTTGTGACCTCAGTTCAGGATCTTTTGCTAATTCCCTTTTGATCATCAAAGTCTTCAATAGTTTTAGAATGGCACAAAGAAGTTATTAAAAAATAATATTACAGTAGTAGCCAAGAGCTCCAAACTACAAGTTTTACTAAACTTTCTTACAGTGAATACGCTACATCCGAACCTTCCACCTCTCACTTCAGTAGAAGCAGAGCCATGTAATCGTGAACAGAAGAACCAGAAAGAGATGTGTGTCTCAAAACAGGGACACAATGCACCGGAGAAGGTGCCTCAGTTTAAATGAGCAAGTATCAAGCAAACAATCAAAGTGAGGAAAGTTTATACACACTTTTCCTTTGATGTTTTCTCAGATGCTGTTAATGGTATTATGGCAATAAATTCTGGTAAAATGGAGGATATCAAAGTCAAGGGTTTTTTTAAAGCAGCGCACTACAGAAATTCTCAAAAATAGATTACCACACAGAAATATGTAAATTATTAACATACAACTCTGAGAAGAAATAGTACTTTCTCGTAAACAACGATGCACAGTGGACCATGCTAACCTTAATGTTGTATATGGGATGGATATTCTTCATTGTGTCCAGAACAACTTTTCTAACCTGTATTTAATAAAAGAGAAAAAGAACAGAAAACTCAGCAAGTATTTCATATTCTAATCAATTAAAGTATACTGTCTTGCTTCTTCTCCCTGCCCCTGCCCCCCAAAGCAAGTAGATTTAAAAAGGTAACGCACATGGTTAACTGGAAGGCACAGTGCCTCAGAAATATCAGTAACGCATTGTTGTGTTTCTAATACACTCCAGCACGCCCCACAAATGTTACTTTCATGTTACCATGGATTTTATGGTGTCATGAGAAACTTGCTATTGACAAGCTACCTTCTCCTACATAGTTACTAAAACCACATTAGATACTCCTTAAGGTTATGTACCATTAACTCTGCAGTGTTTTATATTCTGGGGTTGTTCAGTCTGGAGAAGAGGCTGAGGGGAGACCTTATCGCACTCTACAACTACCCAAGGTGAGGTTGCAGCGAGGTGGGGGCGGTCTCTTCTCCCAAGTAACAAGCGATAGGACAAGAGGAAACAGCCTCAATTTGCATCAGAGGAGGTTTAGATTGGACATTAGGGAAAATTTCTTCACCGAAAGAGTGGTCAAACACTGGAACAGGCTGCCCAGGGAGGTGGAGTCACCATCCCTGTAGGCATTCAAAAAATGTGTTGATGTAGTGCTTCTAGACACGGTTTAGTGGGCATGGTGGTGTTAGGTCAGCGGTTGGACTTGATGATCTTAGAGGTCTATTCCAACCTAATGATTCTAGGATTTTCACTCTTACACCTCTTAACTGAAACTACAAAAAATACTGCTAAAATCCAAAAGCAACAGTATTTCACGAATACTTTTTTACTTCCAACACAAAAAGATCTCAGAGTCTAAACAAAATTCAGCAGCTAAGATGCTAAGAGGAGGGACATTCATGTAAACGTGGCTTACACATAGCTGAAAAGTCACTGAGATACTCCTGAGGTCGCCAGATTTTGCCTCTTGTCTGCCCCCGAGCTAGGCACAGAAGTCTGCTACACAAACAGCTCATCTGCTTCCCCTTACCTCTTTTAGCCCACTAAAAGGTCCAAGAGCTGAAACAGTGTTGCCTTGCACCATAATATAACAGTTTGTTAACAGTTCCAGGGCCTACACCAAAAAAAGAAATTAAGTAAGTGTAAACTGAAGACCTGACACAAATTTGGGTCTAAGAATTGTCTGGCTACTACACCTATAGGAAATACCTTCAGAGTAGATCCTTTTGGCCCAAGAAGTCGTCCTCTTCTTTTTATAAAAGTTTCTCTTTTCCGCACCAGAGAGCCTATTTTAATGATGTCACATGCAACATCATCCTGGAGGATACGAACTGCCTGAAGAGACAAGAAGCGAGCAATATCATCTGAACACAAATGCATTATTCAGAAGAGTTAAGAGAATGTTTTGGTTTATTCTTCTCACTTTGCTTTCAGGTATATTTACTTTAAATATGTATTTTATTTTGACTGACTCACTTGAAAATCCCATGTTTTGAAAATGTACTATTTTGTAAGTATTATGATAGAATTTGATACAAACTTCCAGGATTCAAATACGGACCTGTTCAAATGGAACGCTTCTTGCCAGAAGTTTTATTAAATCTCTAGCCCTGATGATTGCATATGGATCAAAAGTCTTCTTAGTGGTAGTAACAGTCATGCTCCCTTCAATTAGATCCAGCGTTGCATTCACATACTGCAATATTTGGAAAGAAACAGCGACTCAATCTCTAAATAAGAACCTCAGAATTCATCTTTGGCAGTGAGGAGTTAACAAACAGAACGCTAGATACCGAATGTAGACCCATTTTCCAAAATTCCTTAAGTGACTTTCAGCTTAAGGAAATTCACACACACAGACACATACAAAGACTGACTGTATGTGTCACAAGGCCTCAAACACCACCTCCCTCGTCTCCCTGAATTCAGGCACAACAAAGTGGTCAGCTGCTAGATGACGAGACGCTGCTGCAGAGAGCTTTGCTGACAGCGTCTGTAAAGAACGGCAAGTCTGGCTACACAGACCTTCACTGATTTTGATGCTAATAAAAAAATGACACTACCAATTCTAAACATGAGCACAGTAGAAATAAACACAAATACAGCATCAGAAAAGCAACCTGCACTATTTCTATAAGCTTAAGACCTGTATCTCCCAAAAGATAAAACATAGTATCACAAATAGTAAGTACTCATACATGTTCACTTAAGGCTTTCTGGACGAGTGGCCAGCACTCTTTCAAGTATGCTTCTCTATACTTCGGGAATAACGTTGCAAAACTGCTTTCTTCCAGCAGCCCTTTGGGATTATCCTCTCTTGTAAAGGCTGGCTCTTTCCATCCATCTGGCACAGTGAGAAGTTCAGACTCATCAACTGTTACAGGTATAAAAAAAAATAAAGTTGGTTTCTCCTCCTTTTTCATCAGTGACTATTACATCTCCTCCCCGTTCAACTGCAAAAGATACAATAACTGAAAGCAGGGACGCAAAGTTTTGTTTAACACTCTATTGAATGTGTTTTGCAATTCTTCCAATCTCAAAGAAGTTACCGCCTTAAGCTATTTATTTTAAACAGAAGTTCCGCAGCTGAGAGATGCGTTGCGGAGAGGACATTACCCGAGAACAA